GCAAAAATCGATCTGTTCATTCTCTTACCTGAGAGCACGAGTAACTGCTATCAGTTAACGTTGATTTCGTTGTTTTAATATCTGCTAGAGTTTTGAACTTTGTAAATGTTAGTTTTTGTGGTTTTATCATTTAAATATATTTCGAGATCATCATGTCGATTCATATGAACTATTGTTCGGATTATCTAGAAAAGAAAATCAATGATAGAATGATGTGAAAAGTACTTATATGTTATGATGTCATGGTAGAAAACCAACTGATTTGTGTCGAGTGATTTTATTGAAATAGAAGGGATGCCTTTATGCAGAAACTAAGATGAGCTTTTGTTAGTTCTATCGAGTGAAATGTGGTCCGAGTTGCAATTTATATTGATGTTGCTGATGCAGTTGTTGGAACGGAATCTATTAAGTAAATCAATGATGATGATGTTTCATAACTATTGTGGTGTTAAGGGAGGAACATTAGTACTTACTAAAATCGTCTTTCATTCCTTTTTTGAAGTTCAATGTTACATGAATTATTGGAAATAATGATCCAATTGTATTCTTAATCTTATTCGACATAGTATTCGTTTGAATTTCATAGTTGGTAAGTTGTTTTCAATTTCATAAGCGAATTTTAATTTCAGATGAAGTTGATTGGCGAAGTCCACTAATTGTTAAGCATAGGATTCTTTTCCATTGAAAATCATGAAATTACCATGCGCATATCTCAAATATAGTTTGATCTTATCGAGATTTTCATAATCTTCGAGTTGTTGTTCAATATGAGTAATGATTATATCATAAGGACCGAAGTTAAAGATAATCCCATACTAACACCATCAATCCAAGTAAGCAAAAAAATGAGAGAAGGCAGGCGGCACTCCTAGTTCAAAATATTCACAATATCTGTCAGGTTTAGTCTAAAACGTCTTCTATACTTGTCATTACTAGTTATCTTGACAAGAAATATCGTGTAATCACGTCTGGAGCAGCCCAGAACGTTCTTAAACTCCGCTAATGTTTTGTCTATTTGTCCATCGATCCCATTCAGACTGGTTCGTGTAATAGAAAAAGAATAGAAAAAGAGACGAAAGGTGAATTTGAACATACAACCTGACTTTAGTCAATATCTGACGGGCATCCTGAAGGTAGACTATGACGTAGAGATAGACTCACATCAGTTTATACAGTATACGTCATGGAGGGACTTCCATCCATCTGCCGGACAATCAGAAATTAGTCGAAGTCAAGCGATTCCAATTAGTCCATTTTTTGAGCATGAACCACCAACCTAATCTAAAATAATCTAAATACTTCAAACAACTTGTTTTGTTTTGACTAAGCTGTCCTACTAATTTGTTAAAGTGATTAGTAATGGAAAGACAAAGAAATTGAATATAATGTAAATAATTTTTCAATATTTGCATTATTTCCTTGAAATAATCGATGTTATTGATTTCTTTTCTAATTTGAGTGACAATAAGAAGAGTCCTTCAAAATCAATAGTGAAGTCAACAATAGGCAACATATTTTGTATATCCTTAGTTTGACATATCTTATCATATGTTACACTTTCGTATGTAAAAATAAAGTGCCAAAAAATATTGAAGCATTAAAAAGTATGAGAAAGTAGGATGCACAATATTTATTTCTTAGCAAGAAGTACAAATGTATATAATTTAAAGTTTATTATATGTACAAGTAGCGCTCGTCTGTGTGACTCGCTTGACCCTCGACTGAATATTTGACTATTTCACTATTATATGCTACTGTACAGCGCTAAAAAACTAGTATCCAAGGTTCGAACAAGATTGCGTGTGAGTATGAATATTTATATCCGCATCCGTGTCGTTCTGCACAATGCCATACGCGTCTGTGTGATACTTTTTGCCATTAATTCATCCAATCAAACCGATATCCTCACAATAATACCCAACAAAAATCCACATAAACCACATTAAGACAGCAGTATCCACGCTCTCCAAGAAAAGAGATTATCTTCAGTAAGCTGAGGGGATCAACAGAGAAAACACATCCGTAATACTAGCGTGGAAACGCACCATACGCATTAAAAGCTTTAATAAAAATCCGCATAGCTGCTAGCACATCAACCAACCAATGCAGTTTGATAGTGTCGACTACAAAAATACGGGTTTAGCTGAGCTTCTATATTGAAATAAATCATTTTTGATAAGACCAGTAATCGGAAAACGGCACTTGAGTGACGCTCTTACTCAAAGTAGTCATCGAATTGGATAGTTAATTTCCAGATGCTCGAATAAATTTAGACACTTGAATACACACAGAGAAGGCACGCATAACAACAGACAAACACATTTTATTTCATTCAAATCACTTCGAATTGAGTGAATCTGAATTCTTTGCGCAATGTTTTTCGTCAAATCTTCTATTCAGATATTGTCGGTGTGGAGCACAACTATTCTCCGACTTCATTCGAAAATACTTAGATTTTTTAGTATTTCTAGCTCCGATTGAAAACGACCAGATCTAGACCGTAGATATTTTTCCGCTGCATTGCAACAGCCTGAAGCCTTTCTTCAGAGACTTTCGCAGAGCAGCGGTTAGTCGCTCGTCGGCACCCCTTTGGGGCATCACTGGCGGCTAACCGCTGCCATTCTTAACTCTATTCCAGCATAAGATCATCCTCTTTGATTTACACCCTCCCTGGGTCTAGACTACGCTTCGTTCCAAAAATGGTTAGATTTATAACACGATAATTCTCGACAGAAAATTCCAAAGCCGAAACCTTGTTTTGAACTATTCCTCATGTCTTTAATTTCATTGCTTAGCTAGCCAATCAGAGTTTTATGCAATTTCTCGTTAAGAGAATCTTAGTGTAGTACTTTCCAAAAAATCCTAGCTTTTATATAGGTCATTTCTAAAGCGAATCTGCAGTGAGCTTGCAATAGGAGTGACTAGTCGTTCTTCAGCGCCCCTCTGGGGCACCACTTATGGCTATTTGCTCCATTATTTGAACGCGCTCAACTAAAAAGCTGGTTGTTTTCTATTAACCATAAAGATGTGACTTCATTTTTATATATCTGTTCATATTACCGTCTTCGAGTTGTATTGGCGGAAAATTCCATGCGTCAGAACTTCTGCTCAAAAAAATGCGAACAAGAAACCAAGCAAGCACTAAACTCATTTTATTTCATATGACCCTCCCTTCGATCGAGGAAAATACCCCATCAAAAGATCCAAAATGCTTAAAATAAAAAAACTCGTTTCTGATTAGCCGACTGTCTGGCCCATAAGAAGGTCAGGTGTAAAATCCGACCACAGATTCGGAATCATGACCGTCGATAACCTATAGTAAACTTCCATCAAAAGGCCCAAAAGCCTTTGAATACGGCCTTTGACCTGCAATTAAAAAGCTCTTTTCTGATTGGTCGCCTTCCAAGCCAATGAAAGGACCAGATATACAATCTGATTTCAGATTCGGAATTCTGGCCCTCGATAACCTATGGTAAAGTTCCATCAAGAGGCTCACAAGTTAAGCCTAAATGAATTTCATCTCCGATGTTTTTTTGTCCTGCCACAAAGACACACAAACCCATTTCATTTCATATGACCCTCCCTACAGTCGAGGGAATAAATGAAAGGTAACAGATTCTGAGGGTGTGGTTGTGAGGTATGAGTGTGATTACTTGGAAGGTATAAATGAAATACACCCACACCCACACCCACACCCCACCCACACCCACACATCCACACCCACACCCACACCCACACCCACAC